CAGCAGGAAAATGAGTTCTGCATGAGGGTTTAATAACACTGTATGACCACCCACCGTTTTCAGTCATCAAGGGTTTAAGTACCAGGTTAATGTATCGTCTCATTTGTCCAAAACATCCCATTTCATAGGACATGTCTAACTCCAGTCCCATGTGTTATTATCATGCCAGAGAATATTTACACATTTCAGAAAGCAAATGAAACACTGAACTAACTGTAAGCACCTTTTATGATCTTGACACTCCTGCAACTCTCTTTACAAAATACAACAAAAAAAAAAGTCAGTAACTGAGTAAAAATGACAGAGTGCTAAACAATGAGAAGAAAGCACTTCCGGAAGTCCAATTAAAACTACCGTGAGACCTTGGATGAGCCACTTTGGACAAACTTCTATCATCCAGACTAGTCAAATAGTATCAGTGGGATCATCTGCTGAATATTTTATTATCCAACATTAGGAAAAAACAAACACAACAGTACCTAGTCTCCACTTATTCAATTATTCATGGAGTTTTAAAAACTGTAGGCAAAAGCACAGAAGAAAGACATGTATATCTACAGATTACACCTGAGAGTAATCATTGACCATTTTTGCTTAAAATAAGTAACTCTTAGAAGTAACAATTCTGAACTTGACAGAGCAAAGCTATAAAGCAGATCTTTGTTCTGAGGGTATGATCATGAGCTACAGAGCCCCATTCCTCTACCCTCACCGAGAGCTGTGTTAGGTTTCTTCTCTTTGAACATGCAAGACCTCAGTGGAAAAGCCTCATGATGAACAAGAGTATGGACCACGGAAATTACGAGGAAATCATGTAGGAGCCATGTGCCTGCAGAAGTGCAACACTGATTCAGTACTGCCAGGGTCAGAGACAGCACACCCTGGACCAGGTTAGTCCAGGCTCAGCATGGGGAATCACAGGCTTGCATCAGGAAGAGGTCTGATGAGAGATTACTAAAAGAGACCATCATGACACATTATGTGAAACTTAACAGATCTACAAGCACATGGAACTTCAGACTGCAGTTGTGTTGTTCAAGAATCATTCATCAGCAACTTTTACTTGATGGAGCTGTACGAGAGCAAGAGAATGGATTAGTCTATTTCTACACTTCTACCAGCATAAACACCCATAAGGACTCAGTAGCCCTGGAAACAGGAGACCAAGATTCTGTTTCTACTGATTTTCATCATTCTCATGTCGAGACATGACAAATGAATTTTCCTACCTAAAATCAGAACTAAAAACCTCTTCAGGAATCTTGTAGCAGGTGGCCCAGCTTGACACTTCAGTAATACCATACAGATTGAAAATATTTGTTTTGTTCTCCTTGTGCTTCCAACTTTTCAAGAGATTCAGTCCAGGGAATGCTTCACCACCAAGGGCTAAGACACGAAGTGAAGTATTTGCAGACAGCACCATTGATTTAATAATGTGAGCTCCAAACTTTCTGAGAAGTGTTGGTGTCGCCTGAACAATATATATTAAAAAAAAAAAAAGAGAAGAGAAAGACCCATTATATTTTTCAGTATACTTGTATACCTCTTCCTGGTTTATCACATTCACTGCATAGCTACACTGTGGATGTACTTAATTATCTGCATACAGTAGATAGCATCAACCATCAGCTGCCAGCATAGATCACAATGAGCACTATCAGCACCCATCCATGTTCCTCTGCAGCTTCTTCCTTACTTCGATGTGTTATGAGTTCCCTGTTGTTTCTCAGCTATTACATAAAGTACTTGAACACTAATTCTGACATTATTTTGAAACAGAAAGCAGCAAAAACAGTATTCCTCTTGATGTTCCAGTTTGAGCTTTCTTTCCCTTCGTTCAAGCATGCTACAGCAAAAATATAATCTATACATCTGAATAACCTGGATATAGAACACTTAATAATACTAAAAATTTCTAGGATACCAGATTCTGGGTTGCTTTTGATTTGTGTAAATATATCAGTTTACAAAGCTTAGTTTTTTCTGAAAGCTTTCACATCACACTCTAAAATGAGCAGGGAAAAATGAAAACAAAGGAAAAGAAAAAAAGAAAAGAAAAATAACCCAGCTTCCTTAAATACAACCATGTCCATAAAACCAAGAGATGATATAGAGCCCTTGCACTGAATGGAAAAACAAGAAATCATTTGAACAGACACACTTCACTCTCATTCTCGCCTACTTTTTCCCATAAGAAGACTGGAAAATTAATGGAACTATTTCTTACTAGGTTATTTTCTTCTAGTAATAGGAAGAAGGAAAAAAAATTACTCTTCCCCTCCCCCCTCATAACCAGTTGTCAGATTTCTCAAGTCAGCCCAAGCAAGTCAAAAGGGGAAGGTAATGTCTTGCTATAATTTAAGGTACATCATAGAACTAGTCACCATCAATTGAGCTGTAAGAAGAACATTTTTGTCATTAATTCACCTGGGAAGCCCACCCTTCACCACTTAAGACAATGAACAAAAAATTGAAAAAATAAAAATCACAAAAGCAAACTTTTCTTAGAAAGACATCTCTAATACTTTCATTCACCAAATTTAACCTCTCTCTAGTAATGCTTAACAGGCTTTTAAAAATATATCTTATATAAAAAACATACTTAAAAAAAAATTTTACTAATAGAGATTAGCACCTTGGAATTTTTTTTCCTAAAAGCAAGTCAGCTAAACTGATCAAGAAGCTTGCACATGACACGAAAATCTACACCATCAAGATTTAAAGCAATCATGACAAAACAAATAAGAAGAAAATAAAGTTACAAAATATTTGTAACTAGTAGATTTTTTTTTTATGCTGCGGGATCTTCAGCTAACTACTTGATAATCTTAAATATGTACCCTACAATCTCAGCTACCACCATTCCTTCAAAGAAAAGGAAATCTCAGCATTTTCATGAGTGCAAATATTTTGGAATGAGAACATAAATCAACTTCTAAGCCTTGCTTTGTCATTAATCAGAATTAATAGACTAACCAGACCATACTCATTTTTGTTTCTGGTCAATTACAAGTGAGATCCATTTCTAGTGACTCTTCTCTCCACACCCTATTTTAAGTTTCTATACTCAATTAGTAGTTGTACAAAATATCTTATTACATCACAAGGCAAGGGCTACTCTTATTCAGCTATGCTGGATGCTCATAACTTCAAGTAAATTTTCCAAAAATTAACTTTAAAACTATTAAAATTGAAAACATGTAGAAGGTGATCTATTTCAAGACTTAATGGGCACATGAAGCCCCCTATAAACAGGTGGCCTGAAAAAACCAAGTGTTGATGTGGAATCAATTATTGTCTTGCTCTCATTATTGTAAAAACAACAAACATTTTATCACCCCATCAATGGCACCAGTTTAGTTGTGTATTTTTAGACCAGACAATGCCATTAAAATTTTAAAGCTGTTTTATGAGGAAAGGCTCTAAGATCAAGGCCATTAAAAAGTGCTAAAAATGTCTCCAACAGGTTACTCCATTATCAGATTCTTAAGAGCTGCTTAATTAACAGAACAGCTTAATTAATTCTTAAGAATTAATGGTTTCTTAAGAGGAATATAATTTTTATCTTTACTTTATTGTTTTCTGTCCAAAATATTTAAGGCTTTGATCAAATGGCAATTTTGTGAACAGCTAACATGCTACATCAAAAAAGAACACATGAACTACACTTTCAAGAAAGAACATTGCTGCTCTGTCATCATTAGTGCCTAAACTGATAAAGAAGAAGTGCACACTGGCAAAGGTGAGGAGCAAGACATGGCTGTGTTGCCTACCTGCAGCACTGTCACGTGGTGGTGGTGAAACAGCGCCGCAGCCAGCTCCACGGGCATCATCTTCACAGCGTTTGGTACTACAAGAACAGAGGCGCCGCTTGTCAGAGCGACGAACAGCTCAATCACAGACGGGTCAAATGTCAGAGGGGAAGCCAGGAACAGCACATCGTCCTCTGTGATCTCAAATATGGTTCTAAAATAAGGAAGCTAGGAGTTACAGATCTGATGTACATGGTTAAAAAACATTTCCAAACTAGAAAAGCAGCATGAAAGAAATGTGTTTTATCAAAGCTACGTTCTCAAGTGCTGCTGTGAATATACAGGGCATATGCAGGCCAGACAATCTGAGCAGGAGCTCCTGTATCAAGACTGTAACTACTGATTAAACTAATAAGGTCTTTTACAAAGACATTGTATTATGTATCCACCACATTACACACCAATACAGTACTTTGAAAAGCATGTTTCAACTAGTGGATGTTCATTTAAAAAAAAGAAAAAAAGAGAGAGAAAAACAGATGGTATTTTCCATACCACAATTCTTTTTAGAAAGTATTAAATGAAGCAGAAAGAAACCCAGGTAAACTAAAACAGAAATAGGACTTAAGAACTACAGAATACAGTAAATATAACTGTGAACAAATAATTTTGTTACCTATTTCTTACAAACCACAAACCAGAAAACTACTTACAGCATTATTCAAAGTACACCCCTCAAAAATTCAGGTAAAGCACCATTTAGATACTAAAAATAACAGCTAAAGAAATAAAATATACTATTTAGAAACAAAAGAAAAACACAAATAAATCTGAAAAGGCAGGGAAGGAGGAAGAAGTGACGCAGCATCGGCAAAATCCCAATCCGCACTTTTCTGAAGTATTAAAGAGTCCCTACACAAGTTTGTAAGAGCATTTAAAAGGAAAACTGGAAACCACACTTACTTAAGATGCTGGATATTTGGCACTATACATTTGTGAGGCACTCTGACTATTTTGGGGATCCCTGTAGTTCCTGATGTATGCAGGACGTATGCTAAGGAATATTTCTGGCCAACATCCACGTATGCTTCTCCTGATGGTTTCCCTTTGGTTTGCTCTTGGCAAACGGTGTGTGCTGGCTGTGAGCCACCCAGGGCTGTGGAGGGTTCACATTCACTTTTCACACTGTCCACTTGCAAATTTAAATCGGCGACACTGGAGTTCATTTGGAAGAGAGTTAAACCAATATGCTCTATAGTGGAAGAATTGTGGTAAAAGCTACCAACACAGGACGCACAGAATTTCTGTAAGAGAAGAAAAACAATTTAAACATCAGGACTCAGGGGACACTACTACTGTTCTACTGTATGCAATAGAATATGAAACAGCATTGCATACAAGGAAACTGATTTTTCATGCCTCTACTTTCAGAGGACACACATCAGGCAGTTTTATGCTCGTGTAGTTTTATGTATTAAATATGAGTGAACACAGTCTTTATAAATGCGAAATAAACAATTCTCTGAGCAAATAATGAAGAGGAACATATACAAATGAATTTTGCAGAAGACAAAGGACTTGGAATTATAACTAGATGATCCAGTCTTGTTTATTCCCTTTGCAGTGAATGAGGGTAGACAAAAGGAAACCAAAGAATTAAAAACTGAGTTGTTTTTTTTTTCCTACTACGGCAAAGATTTTCAGCTCTCAACCTTGACATATGGAGAAGCAAGCCTGGAAGAGTCTTCCAAGGCCAAATCACAACAACCTTGCCTGGATAACACTGTAATAGGAAGGAAGGAAATATTTTTGAAGACGAGAAGCACACCGTACTTCTAGTTTTAAAGACGTTATATTCTGAATGAGAACAACAACCTTTTGACATGAAGAAACAAAAAAACCCTATCCCAACTTATTAAAACAGGAGAATACAATGTGAATAGCTACACATTTCTAAATTGCCCATTAATGCTTCTTAGCATTCTTCTAGTTCTTAGAAGCCTGAACACTTACATTTACTTTGTCATTCTCAACAAGAACATACTGAAGATTACTTTTCTTCATGAAGTGAGTGGATAGCATCGGTGGTGCATCTGGATCAATAGGAGAATAGGCAGCTGGAACCTGAAGGATTCTAACAAGACACAAACACATATATATTCACGTATAAACATTTTAAAAAACACTGAAATCCTGCATGCTGAAAACACTTTCTGTTCTCACTAGTTTAAAGAATCCAGCATAAGACATTCTGAGCACATATTGGAATTCCTTCACTAATAAGCAAGCAGAACACTAGTATCATTCTGCTCTCACTGGCTGCACCTCGCATTGCAGTGCTTCCTGAAGCGTTCTTCGCTACAATTCCCCCCTCTAGTGGCTCCATTTGATAAAGACAAGCACTTGAATTTATTAACGCCATAAAAATCCAGGACACGTAAGTGGTGACCAAAACATGAACGGTTCCCGTAACTCTTCAGTTCTTCTCAGGCTGATTTCTGACGTGCAATTAGTTATGCTTCCTCTTTGTGCAAATGATTTATCACTGCAGTAATGAGACCCAGAACGAAGACTCAGGAACAGCAGCACTCTGCACACCGGAATAGCCACGGGTACGAGTAGAACCTGAGCCTGCCTCCCATTACACATAGTGGTTAACTAACTGAGTCAGCAACAACCTCTCCAAGAATCAAAATACTCCAGTAGTTCCCCATCACACAGCAAAAGAGAACTGTGTTGCTGCTCAGTTCGTTGGGACATTTGATAAATCAGGTTGGAAGGGACCTGAGCATACCTGGTCCTCACCTCCTGCTCAAGCAGGGCCAGCTGGGACACTAGACAAGGTTGTTCAGGACTTTAACCAGTCAGGTCTTGAAAACACCCAGGGATGAGGCCTGCACACCTCTGGGCAGCGTGTTCCATTGCCAGACTGGGAGAAAAGTGTTTCCTGACCAATGAGAACGTTCCTCAGCACTTCTGAGAGCTTTACAATTACAGTGCTCACTCACTTCACTGAAAGCCTTCTACTCCCTGTGACACAAGTTCTTGACCAATGAGGGCTGGACTGACACAGACATACCCCTAGGAAACACAACTGCTGCAGTAGACATCGACTGAAAAAAATCTACTTGTGATGGTGCAATTCTATAGTACATCAAAAATGCAACGGATACAAACATTAGAAGGACACATTCATTAGAAGCAGGATTTTTAAAATTGCTGAATTAACGTGAGCCTTGTGATCACAAGCATTTCAATTTCCCAGCCATTAAATAATCAATGTCAGTTCAGTGCTGCATTGCTCATTTTTTCTACACTATTTACAACGGAGTTTTAACTGTGTACTTATTTAGCTTAAAGCATGAAATTCGTTTTCAATGCCTATTTTTTTTTTGCTAGCAAGAATACGTTAAAAAGCCTGCATACTCCTTTTTTATGTATATACATTTAATCCGTTAGGCCATCTCCATCTTTAAACAAGCACAATAAAAATTATACTAGTCATTAATTTTTAATATTTCTATAAAAGTGCTTAATCACTTTATAAAAGAGTATCAATAGCTACATACACTTTAGATCAACAACCTTAAGATTCAAAAAAATAGCAGTTTTTTCAAAAGATTATAACACTGTCATCTTTTTTCCTTAAAGAATGCAAGACTCTCATGTCTCGACCATATTACTATAGTATTGCTGTATTTTTGTTCTTATTAGAAATATAAACAAACTGAAAATTTGCTTTAAAAGAGATGACCTTTAAAAAGCAACACAGATTACAAGCATTCAAATCATTACCCTAAGATCCAAGAGGGCAAGTTGATTCCTGGATAGCAGTAAAGGCCTATTTCACATTTCCCTCGCTGATCACAGTGCTTTTGAAGGAAAGCTGTTAACTCCATGGCAAGCTTAACCACTGTTGAGTATGTGTAGAAAGATGGAGGTTTGTCATTGCATTCATCAAACCAAACTGCTTTTCTATCAGAGTACAGGCGAGCTGCCTGATTCACCATTTCCTGAAGAGTCATCACAGCAGCATTATCTTCAACCCTCCTGAAAGATTAACAAAGCAGACTGTACTGTCATCTCGTACCTTGGAGTACGAATTAGCCAAGTTATACAAGTACACAAAAAGCTACCAAGTCAAAAAAAGATGCTTGGCAGAAAACACACTTCACCATACCTTATACTGTAAGAGTGTCAAGCTTCGTATTTTTGTTGTTTGTCATGAATCTCATCTCAAGGCCCAGAATATAGTAATTCACTAGAATGTCACTGCAAAGCGGCGGTTTGTTCCTCACCACTACCCCTTTATTTTTAAAGCTACGCACAACTGAAATAATAACTTTATTAACACAACTTCATTAATAACTTTCTCTTCCAGTTGCGAAATACGAATCATTCCTTTGCAAGCAAAAAGCCCACCCCGCCGCTTGCCAAGGCTT